ACCATCGGTAAGGAAATGTATGTGGAAGGAAAGATATATAGGTAGGAATAACGAACTGGAAGCCGAAAGTGAAGGGAAACAATATATAATATAAGAGACTCGCCGCCAATTCTTTCAACACGGGTATGATCGCGGTATCACGCATGTTGCTCATTTGGAGGCACGGTCACGTGGTCGTCTTGACGTGCGTGAGGACTCGTATGAAGCGTGGAAAGGAGCGGTGAAGCTGCCAGCTTGTCGTGTAACTCGAGAGAAGTGGAGGAGGGGAGAAATATGATGAGTATAACTGATAGGATGAGGAAGTAGAATATTTGTGGCTGTCAACACATGATGAGAAGCTCGTGCGCAATGCCTTGATCCGTATAAGCGATGAGCGTGCCAATGGGCACTTCCACACCGGTAACACGCCGGCTTCGGACCCGATGCATTTGCGGATTCGGTCTAGGTGTGCGCTCATCCGGGATAAATTATACTGGCTGTCTTGAAAAATTACTAAAGCCATCCGGGAAGATGGGGAATTCGAAGTGATCGAACCAACACATGAATATTCTGCTCGAGTAGCATCGTAAGTCCATCCATGTCCCTTCCGAGTTGGCTCATTCATCCAATCTATACATTCTCACAGCCTCCCCAAGTACTCCATCGAGCCACGATCGGTGGAGGCCGCGATGTTTATTCAGACCACAATCAATGAACATTAGATATCCATGCAATCTCCGAGTCTCCAGAGCTCTTTGTCGTTGGCCACACCCAGTTCAGATTCATCCTTATTTACACTCGGTCAAGCCCGACTTTCTCAATTTATAAGGCTCGGATAAATAGCTAGTTGGTCATCTCGTTCTAACTTAGGAAAAATCGGAACCTCGTTGATGTGTTGTTACTAGAAAATTTTCAACTACCCGTGATTCCGAATACAGCGGAGACTCATGTTCTTCTCATGTCCTTCTATCTGTTTTGGCCTACGCTGTAGCAGGCAGTCCTAATTAATTGTTCTTTCTTTACTCTCTCATTCTTTGGTTCAGGTATTGATTTTCATGTATCGGAGGTGGTATGTTCTGTTGGAAGTACATGCTTGGCACATATGGTTTGCCATGTGGTTCGCTATCTCTCCATATGCTTTGCTATCTGTTGCCATGCTTCTTCTTGATCCTCTGACTCACATATTTCATATTCCTTATCTATTTGATATTCGGTCGCCTATATAAGCTAGAGTATTTACCTCACTGGTTTGCCTCGCAATCACCTCTTGCTTGCAAACACCCTTCCTGAGCAAATTCTATATGTTCCATCTATGATTCACTGGGCTCTGTTTACCTTTCACGGCCTGGACCCTCATGTCATATCAGCGTTATACCTGCTCCACCGTGGGATGAGCTTTTTTATTTCACCCCATATGAGTGGGAAATTCCCACTGTTGAGCCACCTGGGGTCAAATCGGATGAAATCCATTCTTCGAATTGACGTCACTCGGGACTCAATGCAGCTTCCATGAGTTAGCCGATCAATTCAACGGCCACCCCATGTGACATGGCGCTTCAGTTATACCTTATAAATTGAGTTCCGCAAGCGTTAGCCAATATAATTCTCCCTTCATGATTCAGATCCCACCTCTAGCCATCAGTAACTCGGTGTGGGCTATCACTGCCTTTTTGTTCCTATTCTATGGTCTTCACTGGAAGCGGAACCGATCTAAACTTCCCATGCCTCCTGGCCCCAAGAAATTGCCTCTCGTAGGCAATCTATTCGACATTCCTGCAGAGCGGCAGTGGGAAACCTACTTCGAATGGAGTAAACAATTCAGTGGGTCGATTTTCCATGAATATCTACCCTCTCGTTAGCTCGCATTTAGATTCCGATATCATCCATTTGAATGCCGCAGGGACATCTATAGTTGTCTTGTCCTCAATGGAAGCGGTCAAGGAGCTTTTCGAGAGACGATCTTCGTTGTATTCTGATCGGTAACTTATTTTCCGTAACACAGACTGAAATCCCTAACTTGCCTAGGCCAGAATCACCGATGCTGACCGAGTTGATGGGGTGGGATTTTGGTATAGGTTTGCGTTCATCTTCAAATACATTCAAGGCAAGAAGCTGATGCCAAAAAATTCACTAGGAACCATGAAATATGGTACGCTTCAACAATTTTGCAAATAATGACGCAAACCATTTTCGTCCCATACCAGGTGATCATTGGTTGGTATCGCTCACTCTGGGCACAACTTGGCCCTGACGAAGTTACAGGCGTGCTCATCGGAAAATGTTCCACGAGGCCTTCAATGTTGTGGCAGTAAAGCAGTTTCAGCCTCAACAACTGGCGGCAACCCATGAACTCCTTCGTCAAATTCTTGAAGATCCCCATGACTTGATGGAGCATTTTAGGCAGTAAAGAACTCAAAACATTTCTTTTAACAACTGTCTAATGAACCTAATAGCATGGCCGGAGCGCTCATAATGGACATTACCTACGGAATACGCGTTCGTTCCTCCGATGATCCCTATATCAATATAGCCAAAGAAGCCATGCATGGGCTCTCAATTGCGAGTATTCCTGGAACCTTTCTTGTAGTAGGTCCATCAGTTTCATCTCCACATGAAAATATCGACAATAAATTTTTAGGACACTATTCATGCGTTGAAATATGTGCCGGACTGGGTACCTGGAGCCAAGTTTAAGCACAGGGCAAAAGAATGGAGGAAGGCCGCACGAGATCTACTCAACATCCCATTTGCGGAGACTAAACGAAACATTGTGCGGCTCATGTCTGACATCTTACAAAATCCGGCTGATGGTTCCTTGTTGATGGCTTTCCTTAGAGCATGGGAACTGCTGCGACGTCGTTCACGTCGTTAAACCTGCGTGCGTTGGACGACTTCACAAGTGGCGAAAGAGAAGAACAGGAAGCGGTTGTTAAAGCTGCGGCAGCCAACATGTACGCTGCAGGAGCCGATACCACCGTTTCAGCACTGGGAACCTTTATCCTAGGCATGCTCATGAATCCTGAGGCTCAGAAAATGGCTCAGGCGGAAATCGACTCGGTTGTTGGTGTGGGTCACCTCCCTGATTTTGCGGACGAAGCGGCATTACCGTACGTTTCCGCAATTGTGAAAGAGGCCCTTCGATGGAGAAACGTTGCACCGATTGGTTCGTCATCCATCCAATTGAAGGCCCTTTCTGAATCAACCATTTTAGCTATCCCGCATTATCTCGCGGTCGATGATGAGTATCAGGGTTATCGGATCCCAGCTGGCTCCATCGTCGTCGGCAACGTATGGTTCGTCATCATTCTTGCAAGCATCTCTCGAGCCTTCCTCACGTGTTTCTTCGTTGTCAGGGCATTACTTCAAGACGAAGTCAGTCCCCGGCTTTTTACTCTCTCTCTGCTCACATCCAACATGTAATAGAACATATATCCAGATCCGGAATTATTTAGACCGGAACGCTTCCTGCTTGATGGAAAGCTCAATCCGGCCATAAGAGATCCGGAGACGGCGGCCTTTGGATTCGGAAGGAGGTGAGCGACCTCGTCCAGCCTAGAGGATCTAGCAAGGAGTGACGTACACCAAAAATATTAGGGTATGTCCCGGAAGACACATGGCTGCATCCTCCCTCTGGATCGCTGTCGCGTCTATTCTGTCTACTTTGAACATAAACAAAGCCGTTGACAAGAACGGGAATGTGGTCGAGCCATCGTATGAGTATTTTTCGGGACTGGTATCGTGCGTCTGGATGGCTCTATCTTAGACGACATTGCTGATGGCGATACAGGACACCTCTCCCTTTCGAATGTGCCCTCACCCCACGATCGCAGCAGTGCGTCGAAGTTATTCAGGCCACTAAGGGATAGACAGTAGCTTTCGGTTCCAAGCAGTGCAACCTCGGGTCTTCGCCGTTGACGTAGACCAGTCAAGGAGGTGGCATTGGGGATGCCACAAAGTCCCGTACTGTACTATTAGGGTAGCCTTTTTTCTTCCCTCCTTTTTCTCTTTTTTGTATTCCCTCCGTTTTTCTCCGGGTTTGTTTTTTCCCCTTTTCAATTTCAACATCCAAAAAGGGTGTAAATCCAAAAATTTAGGTCCAACATGCAATATTGGATGAAATCAGAAAAAAAAAAGGAAGGGAAAAAAGGCCAAAAAGGCTACTGTGAACGTTCCGGTTTTCAGCTCCCCTTTTCGGCCCTTTTTCACACTGCAGTCTGGATGCGCCTATGTTTTCTCAAAGGTCGCATAGCACCTCAAATGTTCAAAAAGGACTGGAGTGGACCGTGGTGTAGTGACACAGCCTCTTCCCATATTGCGATCCAAATGCAAGGCAGCCCTGGGTTCAAATCCCGGCGTCCGAGTTCCGCTGACATTCCTTTTTTTCTTCTCTTCTTGAGAGAAATGCTCGCTCCAAAAAATAGCCTGAAGTCGGAGATGAGAAGAGGTGAGGGACGTGGTGTACTGAACACGGCCTCTTTCAATGGCGCATCCTACCCAACCAACGACTCTGCGCATCTACACACTATACATCCATACATACCCACCCTCCATGGATTCATGGACTGACCGACCGAATGAATATATTATTATTGTGCTTTTGTACATTACTGTGCATTTGTGTTTGTGCTTTAATTCACTTCGAGGAGTCGATTTGGCTGGGCTATCCTTCGGGCTGTGATCATGCGCTCACTCACGAGCAGCTCAGAAAAAAACCTCCCTTTAATCAGGCTGGAGAGCAGGGAAGGAACTGGACGTGGTGTAGGGACACGGTCTCCTTCAATACCTGGTTTTGAGTGTGTAGGAGGGAGTCGTGGGTTCAACTCCCGGCGTTCGAATATCTAAGCTTTTTTTTTTTCCTTTGCTTTCTTGTTCAAAAGTCTATTTATGTGCTTGCACAAGATAAGACAAGACGGATTCAACTATTTCCTCGCCAAAAGAAGTACTTTGTTTCTATCGCACGGAGAAATTGCTTGCAGGAAAAAAGTATCTCACTTCACCGAACCTGGAGGGGAGGAAAGGAATCGGATGTGGTGTGGTGACACGGCCTCTTTTAGTAGATGTGATTCCACTTGTTAGAAACAATGCCGGGTTCGAATCCCGGCGTCCGAGTGAGTGGAATGCATCTCATTTTTTCTTGGTGAGCCATAACCCAAGAAAATAGTTAGGTCGAAGATGGGAAGAGATGAGGAAATCGGACATGGTGTACTGAAGATAGCGTCTTTCAATAGGTATGACTCAATGAAGGGTAAGAAGCAATCCCAGGGTTCAACTCCCGGCTTCCGAGTTCACTCCACTCCTTGGCGTTTTTTTTTTCTTGGGAGAGAAAATCCTCATCCCTGAAGATAGCTCCAAGTCGAAGATGAGAAAATCGGATGTGGTGTAGTCACAGGGCCTCTTTCAATAATTAACTCCAAAAGCATTAAATATTGGAGGCAGCCCCGGGTTAGCCTCATATTTTCAACTTATGGGAATGGTTGGATGGCGCGTGTCCAAGTATCCGTATCACCGAATATAGCTAGAGACAATCGGAGGAGGTGAAGTACAACGAAAACATCGCTGGTTTGATTCGCACTCGGCCTAATAGTCGTCCGGGTCCGCTGGTTCGTCAGGATAACCAGTCTGGCCGTCGTCATTTCCGCCTCCATCCGCAGTTGCATCGTATCCCTCATGGCCATCGTTGAAGTCTGCTCCGTCAGAGTCTTGCGCCTGCCCCACGTTCTCGTCCTCATATTGGCCACCACCATTGCTGTACTCCTCTGCCGGAGGCCCCTGGCGGGATGTAGATCGAGTTCGTTCGGCTGCGTCCATTTCACCCGGCGCTTCATGCGGAAACCCTGCAAGCTTTTTCAGCAGCCCCTCAATCACATCCAAACGCGTATCCAGAGCAGTCACTCGCTGCGACAACTGGTCGACCTGGGCATCACGGAGGTGAGTTATCTGCAAGCCTATCACAATCGAGGCTTTCACCTTGGCGTCAATGGAAGCTGGCGCGTCATCTGCATCAGACTCCTCCTCTTCGTCGTCATCCTCGATGAATTTCGCAATCAGGTTCTTGGGTTTGGTGTACTGCGCCGCGGCGTCAGCACATGTAGGGCGCAACAAACGAGACTTGCCTCCTGGTACCATCCGACAAACAGGCCTCCTGCATAACAGCTAATTTGCAACCCAACATCTTGCTTCTGGGACCGCCAACTCCGACAGAGGGCCAGAAATCTATCGTGGAACTCAAAGACTAAAATTGTCAAGGTGGTGTCCATAGCCTCCCATTGGGACGCGAAAACCTGGGGAGTCATGTTCTGCATTCCGCCAGAAATGATCTCCTGGTGTTTTGTGAGGATCACATAGAGAAGGACCATGATTCGCTGTCCTCGGACCTCAGTAAATGTAAAGGGAGTAGGATCACACCGACCTGTTCAATGCGGAATCCTGTCTGCCGAGTGATGGGGGGCAGCATCGATGCCGAGGTCAGCCGATAATCAATGCGGCTCAGTTCCTCCTGAATGATATCCCGCTCCTCTTTCGCCAGCCTATCCGCAACACGGACAAGATCCTCGCGCTCCAGATCCATATCTTCCACACCGCTGATACCCTCGGCGAAGTCTTCCCAGTCCGTGATGAATTTTACGAGCTTGATTGTATCGAGGTATTCATCGATACAAAGGTCCAAACTGTCGTCGCCGATTTCTGTTTTGAGCTTGCGACAGCGGTCTTCAAGGTCGTCCATGATGTCAGAAAGTTCTTCCGTGTATCTGTCGTGTCGATGATTAATCATCTCTGATCTGTCCCACCGGGAGAACACCCACGTTTCGTTTAGATACTGAGGACCCACGGCCCAGCTACAAGTGCAATCGTAAATGGCACGATGGGATTACTTGACTTATTTTAAACACTCACAAGGCAAACCAAGTCGGGGTCGTTTCTTCCTTGTTCCTTTTCAAGAAGTGGTTCATCTCGTGGACGGAGATGAAGCCACTGGCATCTTCATCGATTGCCTCGCCGAGGGATGGATAGTCTAAGTGGACATTAGTACATGGCGGCCAGCTCTCCGAGATCTCTCACTGATCACTTTGCTGAGGATTTTCAGTGTCCAACCGTCCGCAGCAGCCTCTCCCTCTGGCGGTGCGGCAAATTTGGTGGTGTAGAAGTTGCAAAGGGCTTCGAAGGAACAGTGAACATCGGGAACGTATCGTGTCGTCGCCAGCTCACCATCAACGAATGTTCGCGACTTGACGCTGAATTTCCATCCATTTCCTGAAAGCATTTTTTGGAAGACCGGTTAGCAGACAAGAAAATAGGACGGACCTTTCCAAATCTCCTTGACATCCGGTTCTTCAATGAGGTCGTGTGGTCCAGAGTCGAGCTAGATGCGCCTCAGTAAGATGTTTCTGTCCAGACTCCAAAGTCCGTTCTCACTCGATTGAGAATTTTATTTGTTGAGCGATCAATGGCCTCGTTGAGCTCCATGGTTGCACCGTTCAGTTTACAAACGAAGAGAGTACTTGTCCAAGTATTAGGAGTTAACTCAAAGGGAAACACAGCGTAGCAGTACTCGCCTGTTTTTCTCCACAAGCTCATCGAGGGCAGAGTTCACCGCTTCGATTGTGTTCGATGTAATTGACTCTTGTAGAATCTTGGCGACCTTTGTCTGGCCCTCCGCAGTCTAAAATTAATACTCAGCACTTAGAATCGCGGCCTTCATGTTGCAGGTCTCTACCTCGAGGACTTCCACGCCGTGTGTCTTGATATACTCCCACGCCTTTTTCTCGTTCTCGGTGGCGGGAACATCGACGTGATCGATTAGGGTGGCGATACCCTTTTGGATGTCACGAAGATTGTCAACCATCCTAGTCTGGTTCCCCGCCATTTGGGCAACCAGCACGAATTCTATCTGGGTCTGATATTCGTGAAACTGCGTGACGAACCCCTTCATTGTCTGTTTGAATTCGCCAGCACGACAGAATCGCACTAGAAAAAAATTCCATTAGCGAGAGAAGTAGCAAAGAGAGGAGATGATTGGCACCGATGCACGATTTGCACTTCGTGTAATACACGTCCGCAAAAGCACCTGAGATTGTTGAATTTCATAGTCTGCTGAGAGAAAGAGGTAAGACACGAACCGAATTCCTTTATTGTGTTGCTGATATTGGTCATTTGTTCCTCCAGCTGATCTATCAATTCCGCCGCCCGATCCTGGTGGCTGTTCAAATGGCGTAGGACATATATCATTGAAGTCTGAAAGCGGTATTTAGTTGAAGAAATGAGCGTCCACACACATACCATTGTGTAGCACACCGCTACAATCTCCTCGTCGTTGTCGCGCCGGTCGACCTCCAGCTGAAGCACGCTCTGCGGTCCAGCTGTATAAGCAACGTGCCAAGGAAATCTAGATGTCTTCTTCATACCATGAATATCGTAACAGCCGCCTAGGTTCGCGTATAATGAGCAACTGCTCCCATAGATATGTGGACTATCACCTTTGCCCGCATGTCGTATTCCGCCGCGCCACTCAAGACACCCATGGTCTGCTGAATCGCGGTTAAAATCTTGCGGATATTCGCTTTATTCTGTTTCTTCGAAGCAGCTGCACAATCAAAGACTTGAGCTCGCGCTGCCGGGACAATGAATGCAGCCTCACACTGTGCCACTTGCTGAATCAATTTTCCAGCATTTTGCATTGCTGTATCAGCGTGATTGATTTTGACATCCATGTTGACTATGTTGACGAAGTCCGGTTAGGTGTATATGACGGGAAGGCGAGGTAATACCTGGCCAACGCCGGAATATATATATCTACGTCGGCGCTTAGAAGCTTTACGGCTGACGAATGAATCACGAGTACCTGGAAGACGTCGCGGTTATATCCACGTCGGCGCTTGTTACGGCTGATCACATACATTTCGGCATTGGCTCGCCTTGCCAAAATATACCTGCAGCAACATACCGAAAGTTTCCAGACGTCAATACTTTACTCTCAGTGTACAACGGTCCATCGAGATCCATTTTCGCAGCGAAGTGGATCGTCGAGAAAGCTCTGTCACATTGATGCATATAATTAGCTAAGGCGCCAGAATCCAGGGTCGAACTTGAAGTTTGATCATCGGAGGCTGTGTCCGATGTCGAGGAGTCTAAGTTGGCTCAACCTCCTGGACAGTAAACGGAAGAATCCCGCTAGAAAGTAAGTTGGTATGATTAGCGCGTGGCGGGAATTGGACCCAAATGAGCATTTGCAAGGCATGTGGCAATATGTTCCAGGCAGTGGATGCACAGGCAGGGCTGCCATATACTTTTTTATATAGATGCTGTACATTTCCGAAATTTCGGTATTTAAGAGGTCCAATGGAGAAAGGGTGATCGGACGCCCATCATCTTGGTGCCTGGAGGCTGCGCCGGCGGGCGGGAGATACGTGAAGGGTCATTAAGCGGAGACTGGCAGGAACGCGATGTCGTCATAGACTCGCTTCTCTCCGCACTACCACCATCTCCCTTCCCGCCTGTCCTGCCCTTCTCGGAGGCTGAGGCTGAGCCTTCTCCTCACCCGTGTTCCTTTTCGAGCCCCACCCAACCAAAACCGCGTTACCCGTCCATCGAGTACCTCAAAATCGTCGAATCACCGTTGCTGGTCTTTGCATTATCGTTCTGGTGATCGATGTCTAGCTGATGTATGTTTGCAGATGCAACATAAGGACGACGCGTTCCTGTGAACTTTGAACCATTAACCTCTTCCTGATCATTCACATCCATCTAACCTCTCTCGCTCACCTCCCTGTTGTCGCTTTCATAATTTTTCCCGATCTCGGTGATATTCCTACTGTCTGCCCTTTCTTTCCTTGCCAACAACTCCGACTCGCGCCCCGTAGCCACAGTCTCGGAAGACATCATCTACCCACTTCACTGGGGCGTTGGAGCCCATGGGGCAGCACCTGTCTGCACGATGCCGTGTTCTACACGCCTGGCCTTCTGTATCTTGGCAAAACTCGTCTCTTGTCGCACCCGTCCAGGTAAACTCTTTGCCGTGCTGATTGTACCTTAGCTAATGTTCGTTTCCAGGTCTACATCTATGCACCCGGCCGACCTTCGTGCGGACGCTCGAAGGCGACTCCTAGTATATC